GACCGAGGTGGGCGATTGTTTAGCCACCGAAGCGCTTTTCCAGCAAGTGAGTAGGGGAAAAGCCTTAGTTGCAACTACCACGTCCAGTAGTGGCCCAACCGCTCGGGGCTTGATCTCGAAATTGTTTGCCGCCACGTGAGGGTGTAGGATCGGCGATTGAATGTCCGCCGGCCGTGGGGCCATATAGTAGCCCATTATCCTTGGGGCTTCCTCTTCCTCCGTCGCATCGTGTAGGTTACGAGCTTGTGTACTTGTCTTTGGTTCCCCGCCATTTCTACTCCAACGACGGGTTCAACTTCCACTTCTTCGACTTCTTCTTCACTAGCAACGGGACGCGATTGTTGGCCCCTTCCTTCACTCCTCCTCCTTGCCTCTGCTAGCTCCCTCTCCCATTCTAGGACCTGAAGAGTTCGGTTTATGTCCCCGTCAAGTGGTAGCAAATGTGTCGGGTGACTCCGGGTCCTGCACCACCTACACACAATCAGAAAACAACACCAAGTCTAGCACAAGCAAAGCACACACATTTTCGAAACTGGAAATTAAAAGTTAGATTAACAACAACAAAAAATTTCATGATAATGGACCGTTGTCCCCGTCAACGGCGCCAAAAACTTGACTCGTCCCGAGTACCACAATTAATTCCCGCCTATGGTCCAAGTATAAACCTTAGTCAGGTGCAGTACAGGGCAAGTATGTTTAAATATCTACTCGGGCCGGTCCGTGTACCCCTACTTCAGTCATTTGAATCATTATCCAGCGACTCGGTTTTGGTTGTAAAGTTTGCTAATTAAAGTAAAGCAAGACAAAAGTGAATGGTTTTGAAAGCTCTTTTGCGAGAAGGATCACTCGGTTGTCGCTTTCCCCTAACTACTACCATGGTATGTGAACTGAAATGATTGCTATGGGTAAGGTGACCGCGAACCACTAGGGGACGCAATTATGGTCGTAAACCACACTCTCGATTGCTAAACCGAGGGATACATTATAGGCTGTCACTCGGCCCTCTCGATTTAGGCAGTCGATGGTTCACTTACTCCCTCACTCAATCCAATGGTTGGGCGGCTTAGTCGCGATTAACTAGATTTCTTAATCCAACATCGAGGTTTGTCCTAAATTAACCTAGATAGGTGACTTTAAAAAGCCCTAGGAATACCAACTCAATTGAGCCTCCCTTGAAAGGGGGTTTTCCCTCTCTAATCTAGGTTAAAGTGGCTGATAAGATTGCTAAGCACAAAACATACACAATCAACATGAATAATACCTCAATCATTGAATTAAACAACACCCATAAACAATCATTCAATTCCCATAACAAAAACTAGATGGTAGATAGTTAGGTTTTCACAACACCCAAGTGAAAAAGAAATCTACTCCATGCTAGAAGGGGGATAAACACAAGGGGAAGAGGTAGAAACCATCCTGAAGGAGGCTTCCAATCTTCTTGTCACTTGTGCTGAACTTCTCTTTTGGGGAGAATCTTTCCAAATCCACACTTGGAGCAAAACCCTAGCCTTCTTCTCCTTTGGTTCATCTTTCTCTCACCAAAATCTGAAGAAGAAGACTTTCTCACTCCATGGGCTCTCCCTCTCTCTTCCTTTCAGCTCTTCTTTTAAACAGGGATCGTGGTCAGTTCACGGCCTCAGTTCACCACCGTGAACTCTGAAACATGTCCGTGAACTCAAGATGGGCGTCGAAACGCAAGGCTTCGCTTGCACGGGTTCACGGGCAACACTTCCTGTTCACGGTCTTAGTGACCGTGAACTCAATTAGCGTCACTAACTTGAGATTTGGCCATGGATGCCTTGATGTCCACGGGCAACAACTCCTCTTCACAGTCTAAGCAGACCGTGAACTCCCAGGAGAAACCGTGAACTGCCTCTTTTTCTCCTCTTCTCCCAGTTTTCGCTCGTTTTCGTCCAAATTTCGACTCCGGGGCTGTTTTCACCTGTTAAATCCTTAAACATGCTAAAACACAAGACACCTAGCGTAAATCCACCCTTTTAGGGGCACAATTGCCACAAACGCCTAAGGAAAACGGGGGTAAAATGTGTACAATTAGACCCGAATCACTTATTTTAAAGTAAGCGCAATTATGTGTTTTAGGCACCCCACCGCCTACTTAAGGTGGAGGCACACGTTGTGCTATGTATGTGATGTATGTTTGATGGTAATGGAACCCCCGAGCGGTTGGGCCACTATTGGATGTAGTAGATGGTCGGATCACTGTTGGACGACGATACGTGACGCATCAGCTGATTGGGCATGGACTGGACGACGATATGTAACGCGGTACCATAGCCTTGAGGATAGGAACACTAGACGGCGATACGTAACGCGGTGAACGCTGGTAATGAGTTATGAGTTAAGATATAAATATAGAACTTCTATAAGCTATTAAGGACTAAAGTTTTAAGGATGAAAGCAAGAACAACTTTCATGTAAGGGAAGTAATTTCTAATAATGTGTTAGTAAGGATTTGCTTATGCAAAGACCTTAGGAAGTAACGACAAGACTGAACCCTTCTCACTCAGCAGGTGAAGGAAGGGTTATCAAATTTAAGTTCTCAAACATGCCCCTCTACAATATTTCACATCAATCTTGCCCCTCTACAATAACAAGGTTATCAAATTTACCCACCCATCCATTTTTCTGTTACTTGACCGTTATCTAAAGTCAAATATGACTAAACCATTGCAGTGAGATTGACAAATTATTTAAATGGCCTTCATGAACTAGAACCCAAACTGGCAATACTTCAAAGAAACAAAAAACTTAAATTAGAAAAGCATCAAAAAAACAATTCCCCTTCTCTCTCATCTCTCTCTCTCACATATTCCTTCGAGTTCCGCCATTTCTCCTTCCCTCTCGTCCTCCAATTCCACCACAAACTGCCCCCTGCCATTTTCCATCTAAGCCGCCCATCCAACGCCTCCCTCCTCCATTCAGACTCCGTGATGTAGCAATTTTGGGATGGAGATTGTGATTGTGATTGTGATTGTGTTTGAGATCCATTATTATTTCAACAACCACCTCTGTGATTATCTCTCTTCCAAATTAGGGATTTTGGTAGAACAAGGACGAGTCCAACGTCAAGGAAGGTTAATCCATGGTGGTAGAGCTCCTGAAAACAATCGACGATTCCAGAATCGTGATTGTCGTACAGTCGAGGAAATACACCTTTTCCCTTTAGTGTCTCGACGAGCTGCTCCCCGATCCCAGAGTCGTTTCGATTTCTTGCAAAGCTCCTTGATTTTGGCCTGGTGAAGTTCGATTGTCTAGTTCGGGGCTTGTGGCTTGCTATTGAAATGACTGAAACTAGTTTGAAAACAGAGAAGTTAATCGTCGTCCATGACATCTCTTGGAGAAATGGTGGTGGAGCGGATTGTGAGTCTAATTCTCTTTCTCCACCTGGGAGTGGAAGGAAAGGAAGCTATTTGTGGGCTTGCAAGAGAGGCAAAAGCTTTTAGGCGAGACATCTCTACTATTGGGACTACAAAACAACTAGTGGTGGTGGTGCTTTTGTTGAGAACTTAGAAAAGTAGAGGGACAAAATATACATATAACCCAAGGGAAAGGAGGAGAATGAAATGAGGGTCTAGGATTGAGATGATAACTATTAATTAAGGAATTTAATATATAGAGACCGTAATATCGTTTAAACAAAAATATAAATATGTTAGGGTTAACTGAAGTCTTCCGCATAATTTTGATGACAAAATTGAAAACCAAAAGGAATTAACTCCAAGATTTTAAAAGGAAAAAAATCCAAAATAATCACTTGAACTCCTATACGCACGCCTTTCCTACTTTTGGGGACAAAAACAATCCCTATTAATCAGCGGCTTAAAAACCCACCACCTAAATTTAATATTTTCGTGGTACTTTTTTTCTGGGGACAACTAAATTAAATTAGAAATTAATAAAACTACATTCCTTATTCTATGAAGACAATTTAATATGCTTGTCCCTATAACACTTAAAAATCTATTTTATAAGACAAGATAAAAGAACCGTCCCTTATATTGGTCCCCAAATCTTCTTTATTTTGTAGTGTTGTAGAGGCGGTGGAGCAGAGTCAGGGCCTTCTTCTTCTTCGATTTTCTAGTTAGGATTTAGAATTGAGATTGGGTTGAGGGTAAATATGTCAATATGTAGCATTAAGGGCGATAAAATTTGAATTTCAGGACGACGAATAGGGTTTCGAAAAGAAAGAAAAACTAGAAGAAAATAGAATATTCAAATTTAAAAATGATAACATTAAAATAAAAATGATGAAAATAGAGATAATCAATGCAGTCAAAATCGCGCTTTAAAACTTAAAAACTTACGATTTTACGCTTCTTGGTCACCAAAACGCTTTCGTTTCCATATAAAATCTTTATTGTGTAAAATCGGGCTAAATTACGTTTTAAAGCTTAAGAGCTTACGCTTTTACGATTCTAGCGCACCAAAACACTTTACGTTTTTACGCTTTTAGATCACTAAATTTTTATTCTTTTCATGAAATTAATTATAAAAAGTATATTTTAAAGGAAAATCACCAACAATATGATATATTTGATATTAAAAGATACATAGCAGGTCTTGGATGCATTCTCAGCTTCAATAGAGTAATCTAGTTGACGAGTTCCCAAATTCATTAGCATAGAGGGGCGGTGGCTTATTGTTAATATCTATGTTTATGAACTTATTGTTAAGATGCTATGAGTTGTTCTACTTTTTTTTTTTTGGAATTAAATTTTCGTTGAATGTTGTTCTACTTAATACATGAATTGCATGTATTTATTAACTTATCTAAGTTCTGTGCACTCATATTTTACATAGTATATGTTTTTAGTCATTTTACACTATGCGTAAAAAACTTACGTTTTTACGCTTTGATTCAACGTTTTACGATTTTATCAATTTTTCGCTTTTAGAAAAAATCGCGCTTTTAACTGCATTGAAGATAATTCCCAAATTTGGAGGCTAAGGTCTCCAAATTAGCATTGGAGATGGTCTCATTGACAACTATCCGTAGCTACAGTCATTACCGACTAGTAGTCATACTACTCCCAAGTCCTAACTCCTAAGAAGAAAACACTTCGGCGTCTCCTGTTTCTCTCTTTCTCTCCCAACCTCTAGAATAGATTCCGTAGCCCACCTGGAAGAATCCCAAATCTCATAAACCCTAGATTCATTAAATCCCGGAATCAGAGAAGAACAAGGAGCGGGCTCCCAATTTCTGTTCGTTGCGATCCAGACTCGGCCGATTGTCTGAAAGGAGAAAACTTTTTTCCTGCTCCAGCTCATTTTGCATTTGGGCCTTTGGTTATTCGGAGTTCTATGCCGACTATGCATAGATCTGGAGCTGCCATGGCTTGGAATGTTTTCAAATTCTGTACTGCCCTGCGAGGTCTGGGTTCAATCATGATCTTGTTGGTTCTAGGTGTTGTCGGTGTCACTTATTACGCTGTCGTTTTGACCAATTACGGGCCGGCTTTGTACGATGGTGGCGTCGACTCCTTTAATGCTCTCCTTGTCTTGGTCCCATTCCATTGCTTGGTAAGATCTTTGATCAGACTCGCACCTTGTTCCTCTTTCTTTTGCTTAGTCCAAACAAATTACATATGCTTCAGATGGATTTAGTGGAGTTATAGGTACTTAAAATATGCTAGGATCAGAATTTCCTATAGATGATAAGCTCCTGAATATATTATTGTAGTTAATGCTGAAGTCGTCCGCTGTTTGTGCTCCGATTAAAAAAGGCTGCAGGATGGGTTTACGTATCCTGTTGGTCTAATGAAAGTGAGATAGCGTCAGACAATAAATGGAAGCTTGCAGGAATAGAGAAAGATAGGAATGATGGGTTTCTTAGAGCCAGGAGGTAGGCAGTGTACTGAACTGAACAGCTTATCCATGGAACTGAAACTTGGGTTGATGTTCTTGGCAGCTGATCATGCTCCTGTGGAGCTACTTCTCCGTTGTGTTAACTGATCCCGGTAGTGTTCCTCCGACTTGGAGGCCTTCTGCTGACGAGGAAAGAGGAGAAGCTGATCCATTGAATGGTCAAGAGTTTAATAGTGTGCAGAAGGACCTAGCTAAGCCTAGAGTACGGTACTGCAGGAAGTGCAACCAGCTCAAACCGCCTCGTTGCCACCATTGTTCTGTTTGTGAGTGGAAGATCAACCAATTATGACTGATTTTATTGATCTTTTCTAATCATACTCACAGTTGATACTTGTTTTTCATTTTCCCTTATTAGGTGGAAGGTGTGTTTTGAAGATGGATCATCACTGTGTTTGGGTTGTAAATTGTGTTGGTGCATTAAATTACAAGTATTTCCTTTTGTTTTTGGTGAGTTTTTTTATTTTTGGTTAATTTTTCGCTATTGCATTGTTCTTTATATAGGCTAGGATCACCAATTATTCCTTGTTCCCGCAGAATTCTAAGGAACCCTTGATTAGGGGATTTATTTTTAATTAAATGTTTATGTTTGATCATAACCAATATTATTTGCCTGAAATTAGTTAAGTGGTAGTACTTGAACAAATTCATGGCATCAGTGCTGTTTTATGCTGGGATAGGAGCTTAATTAAATTGTTTTGGGAACGGGACTCGATCTATTTTCTGATGTCATGTGTCAGTTTAGTTTAGGATTAAGCTGCCTATCACATTGCAGGTTCACATTTTTGGGTATTAATAGTATTGTTTAATACTCATACCGGGGGCATATTATTTTTTTCATTCTCTTTATTGAATGGCTTAAACGTACCAATTGAAAGGAGGTTCAGTTTTTTGGAAATTTGATGGACTGTAAGTTGTATTGTGCTTGGTACATTATGAGTCAGAAATCCTGTGTGGTAATATCACGACAGACTTTCAGCTAGTACCCCAGTGTATAAACTTCAAATGTTCGCCACATAAGATGCATAGAAGCTATACTGTGGAAACAGGGTCGGATGGATTGGGTGGTGATGATACGCTACTCATCTAGAGGTGTCTTTACTGTTTGTCTGAGGCTGTACTTTATAGGCGGCGCGGCGTCCAGTCTCTTCTTCTTTGGGCTGTGGTTTCATATTTCAAACAACTAATTTTCTTAACTTATTATTCTCTAAACTTTGCAGTTCTACACATTTCTGGAGACAAGCCTAGTGACTGTGTCTTTACTACCACATTTTATTGCATTCTTCGGTGATGGAGAAATCCCTGGCACACCAGGCACTCTGGCGACCACATTTCTAGCTTTTGGTAAGATTTACTAGGCCTTTTTTCCAACCATGTGCAACTGTGAGTTATATGTTAAATTATGAAATCTCTCTCGTGGCAGTCCTGAATCTGGCTTTTGCACTAAGCGTGCTGGGATTCCTAATCATGCATATATCATTGGTGGCCACTAATACCACGACGATTGAGGTAAAAAAAAAAACCTTCTTCTTTTTGTGCTGTTTCCTTATGTATCTGAAATTGTAACGCTGAGATATTTGTCTACCTGCAAGCTTGAATATTGAGTCCGTTGACATAGACAGACTGTTATGTTTGTTCACCAAAGAAAAAGTTGGTGCGTATCCACTTTTGTCTAATCTGGCTGCTTGGTGGTCTTTGCAATTTATGATGAATCAAATATGCATTCTTGATTGTCTACGAAAGAATGCCTATGTTGTGATTGCTATAGTCTTTGCCTGGAAACCAAGGATTGAAATACCGTACCAGAGGTCGTACCGGAAAAGTCAGCGGTAGGGTACTTTATGCTAAAACCGTGGTTTAACCATGGTTCAACCGTATTATACCCCCTGCCGATTTTGCTTCCGGTAGAAGGTTTTTCAGGTCAAACCGCCGGTACGGTATTTTAATCCTTGCTGGAAACATTTGTTGATTTTTATCATCTAGTTATTACTATATATTGTCTTGATCAGGCGTACGAGAAAAAAACCACACCAAAATGGCGTTATGATCTGGGACGAAGGAGGAACTTCGAACAGGTTAGTCATTTCCCATCAAATTTTGTTATCTGCGTTCTTTTTGTTTTAAGTCTGAGGAGGTAGCCGGCCGGCCTGGTGGTCTCTTGATTGTTAGGCTTGTTCAAAATTGGTGGTTATGTTGAACCCTCAAATATAATCTAGCTTATTGCACAATGCTTCAGGTTCTTGGCACGGATAAATGGTACTGGTTCATTCCAGCTTACTCCGATGAGGATTTAAGACGAATGCCTGCACTTCAAGGGCTGGAATACCCGTCAAGGCCAGATTTCGATTCAGAAGAGTTCTTCTAGGATCCAGCCTGCTCTTCTATGGAGCCCCACCAAATGTTCCTAACCATATTGTCCCATGTGCATCCTCCTGTCCTGTAGAAACAACACGGAGAGAGAGAGAGAGAGAGAGAGAGAGAGAGAGGATTGTAGCACTTGTAAAGCTGACACGCAGAGCAACATGCGACAAGTATGCGGCTGTTGATGACTTGACGGGGAATGTAAGATAAAGAGGGGATGTGTGGAGACGAGACGAGGCTGATTTTGCTGATACGCTGATGTAGAGAATCAATGTGTTGTACCATTCCTGGAAATAAGTATGCATGTTTTTTTGCGGCTTGCGGCCCTTTCTTCTTGTGTGAATATTATGCCTCCTAGCCTCTGCAAAGTGTAGTGTATGATGTATACTTATTGGAAGAAGTATGATATCCTTAACGGAGCAATGTTAACAGAAATGTGAATCCTCGGCATTTGTCTTCAGATGAAGTCGTTGAACATCTGCCTCTCCCCGGATAAAACGATAGGTTGGTAGGCTTGCAATTATCAGCGAACCGGTACATCAAGAGTTGGAAACGAAATGGTCCACACAAAAGGTGTGTTATTATCATGGTTCAAAAAGCACGCTTAACCTTATGCTTAGGCACGCCTAGGTGCAAGGCAATGGCAAAACGCCTCGTCTAGAGGTTTCATGCCTAATTAGATAATGTAGAACACGTCAATAGAGTAAGGCGACATATAAGTCTCTCCTAAACATTACTTGATGGATCTAGGAAGTCAATATTAAATGAGAAAATTAACATCAACTACGAAATTAATTTTTCATATCAATATTATCAATAGCTCAAGAACTTTGTGAGCTATTGAGCTATAATTCTATGAATTCGCGAGTTACATTCTTGCTCTTAAGTGTTGAGTAAGTTATTAATCATTTTGACTAGAGTGAGGAAGTGTTGTAGATTATTATTTCATTCATCATTGAGTGCGAATAGCTATTTTTCTCCCAACGCCTATGCACGCTTAGTCTACGCCTAGGCGATCTAGGAGCTAGGCAAAGGCTAAACGCCCGCCTTGCACCTAGCGCCTTTTTGAACCTTGATTATTATTGTCTAGGGTGGGTAAAGTTTATATAGGTTTTGTAGATGGGTTTGGATAGGGTGTGGGTATTGCTTCCATACTTTAAATGGCCATGGTTTGGGTATGAATAATTATTTACTAGAGGTTGTTTTAACTTAAAATACAACATTGGACCTATTTGTAAAATTTAAAAAGATAAGTATGAAAATGTAAGACACAAAAATTCAAGTGCTAAAATATTATTTTTCATTGATATTTTTATGACTTATATGTAAAAAATAATTTAGGTACACATTTAAAGGTATACTAAGTTTAAATATCAAACTGTAATTTGCATATGAGAATGAATACAAACTCATATCCATTAACTAAAAGCCGAAACAAACCCAAATAAATTGATATCGGTATAAACCCATCAAACTCTAACTATTTACGATGTATTTGGATTTTATAACCAACTACTTAGATTTGATAAAAAAATATCTCTGAGTTTGGATAAAATTACCATCCCTAACTACAATTTGATTAACTTCGCCTTCCGATGTTTAATCTAAAGAATCGCCATTAGGGGAATGAAATGGTCCAGACCTATCAGGTCTAAACATATCCATAACCATATGCATAAATACAAGTTGTTTCTCAAGGCCCTATCCAAAACTCCGATTATGAACTTTGATTACCAAAGGTGTCCTGAACTATTGATAATATAAAAAGAGGTTTTGATTGAATGAGATGAGAATTGAACATATGTAGGTGATATGGAATTGATGATTAGGGTTCTATGCTAATCGTTGAGCAATTAGGCGTTTAGCAAAGAGGTTGTAGATGAGGCATCAATTGTTGACTTGCGGGTTTTAACCCCATGCTTTGGTAGCGTTATGTTGCAAAATGTAGCTCATAAGTTGGTGGCATTCGATTGTGAGAAGTAACTTAAGGGGCGTTTGAATGAAAAATTTAAATGTGGAATTTCACCATAATTGCCCGTTCCGTAAAATTTTGACACAATTTTGTATTTGGAAAGATACGGGATTTTGAAATTAGGGATTTAAAATACCATCAATTATGGATTTTTAAAATAGCCCAGATTCATAAGCTAATATCAAATCCCTCATTATGTTTTCACTTTTTTCAAATTGTATCCCTTCCTCTCACCCGGTGCTTTCTTTCTCTTTTCCAACCAGCCGACACTCCTTCCTTCTCCAACAACCTCTTTTCCTCGTTGACGGCTTCCACCATGAATCTGAATGATTGTAACAAAACACCACGTCGCATTCATCCTCGTAATCTAAGCCATATCTCTCGTAGCAATCATTGTGGGAGCTTACCTAACTACATTCCCAATCGAAAACCAAGTGAAACCTTCAACCAAATTTAGTATACTTCAGCAAAATATGTGTTATCTAGCAATCGAATTGTTGTTTTAAACTACTAAACTAAACAAGCATGCCAGTAAAATGAGATTAAATTCAATTGAGGAAACTTCACTCGAATGAGTTTCCCCTAGTACTATGTTGAGTTGACGTTGTGATACCCTAGTATGATTCACACGTAGCATACACCGTAGGGAGCACTAAGATAGATAGGAGTCTCTATTCGAGTTGTCCTATCATGCCCAATTGCACTACCCGGTGAGGCGTACCAAACTAGCGACCTAGGTAATTGGGGAAACCAAAGCTACTTCCACCTTGGGTAATGACCTGATACGACACAAGGAGTCCAATCACACTTGTTCATAAACCCCAATTGTTGAGTTGGTAACGCTGTAAATTGACCCTAAGGAGATATTCTCTCTTAAGTCAATTAGCCCCAAATTGAGGAAAGTTATCAAGAACCTTCAATTTCCGTGAATAATACACAAATCAATATATGATCAATCATACAAATCAACACATAGGGTTGAGTAAGAAGAACCTCATTTGGCATCTCACACCTCTACCCATCCATCATACAACCAACTTTGAAGAACAAGTCACAAGGGAGGAGGAGCAAGATGACCTTATCAAGAACCTTGCATGGCAACTTGCCCTCCAAATTGTGCTTGAATACATGGATGGGAAGGTGCGAGAAGAGGTTGAAGAAGAGGAAGTGAGCATCGAAGAAAAGGAAATTTTTTATAGTTCTCAAGGGGAGGAATGATCGCCCATAACTAACGCATGAAAAATAGGCAAGGGTACCTATCCTTCTAAGGCAGTATAGCAGGAAGCAAGGTCGTATCCACATAGATTATATGTACTAGTACTAAGCTTTTACGTAGTATCTAGTCAATCATTTTAGTTGATTTTAAGATATAATCTTTCACACATGTAGTAAAAAACAGAACTAAACAATTTCAAAGTAAAATCAAGAGGAGAAGACGTTGTCCCGAAAGTGAATCCCCCTAATACGAGTTTTACAAACAAGTTGAATTCAACATAGACGAAAGTTTATATCTTAGAGCGTGAAAATTCCCCATTTAGTGTTAACCAGTTCGCACATGTATTGACACCATTTTAATTTAAGAATCAAGTGAAATCGTAGCTTACAAAACTCTTAAACCAAAGCATTAACAAGATTTGTGAATTCCTGTATTAGATTTTAACCTAATTGGGAGGAACTACATGACCCTATGGCTAGTGGCTCCAATCAATTCCTTATTTCCTACGAGTGATCTGACATGCGAAATTACCTCGCAGACTCATTCACATGTATCAAACAAAATACACAATAGGCGCGCAAATATTGATACTTGCACACGATGAAACTAGAAAACATTGTAAGAACGATAAAATAAGTCTATATCAATGATACAAACTCAATCCATAAAAAGCATATTAAGGTTTATCAAATCCTCAACAACTAAAAGACTAGCAGAACATGATGAGGTTTACAAAGATGGAAATTGAGAGCATTACCATGACGATGAATACGTAGAACTGTGGGGTTGGTCACTCTTGATTGGACCTTACCATTTGAACTGATGTGTGACGCGAGTGACTTCGAAGTTGGAGCTGTCTTGGGGCAAAGGTGAGATCAGCATTTCCGACCAATCTACTATGCATCGAAGACCCTCAATGATATCCAGGAGAACTACACCACCACAGAGAAGGAGCTGCTAGCTGTGGTGTTCGCCTTCAAAAAATTTCGCCCTTATCTGGTTTTGTCCCGGGTGGTGGTCTACACCGATCACTCCGCCATCAGATACCTGATGAGCAAGGCCGACGCCAAGCCTTAGCTCATATGGTGGATCTTACTGGTGCAGGAGTTCGACATTGAAATCTGGGACAAGAAGGGAGCCAAAAATGTTGTTGATGATCATCTCTCCCTCTTGGACGCACCTCATGTTGACAACTTCATGGAGGAGATCAATGACTCCTTTCCAGATGAGCAGTTGATGATGATGTTTATGGTAGAGAGTGTCACCCCTTGGTTCTCCGATTTTGCGAACTATCTAGTTGGCCAGGAGCTACCCAAGGAGATGACGACTCATGCGAAGAGGAAGTTTTCCTCTGACCTGAAGCACTACTTTTGGGATGATCTGCATCTCTTCAGGATCAGAGCCGATGGGGTCATCCGTTGCTGTGTCATGGACAATGAGATGGAGGGCATTCTATCTCATTGCCATTAAGGACGTATTGGCGGGAACCATGGTAGTAACCGCACTGCGAGGAAGGTACTGTAGTCGGGCTTTTACTATCCCTCTCTTTTCGAGGATGCTGACCCATTCACATGCAGGTGCATGCGACCGATACCAGATGTCATGTAACATTTCTGCCCGGGATGAGATGCCTCAGAATGTGTTTGTTATTTTTGAAATTTTTTATGTCTAGGGTATCAATTTCATGGGACCATTCCCTCCATCTTTCGGAAATCTGTACATCTTAGTTGTTGTTGATTACATCTCTAGGTGGGCTGAGGCACAGGCTTTGCCCACCAATGATGCCAGACATGTTTTTCAGTTTCTTAAGCAGCTGTTATCCCAGTTTGGGACGCCTAGAGCCATCATCAACGATAGATACACCCATTTCCAGGGTCAATTTGATAAGCTCTTCTCTCGCTATGGTGTCACTCACAAGTTGTCCGTAGCCTACCACCCCCAAACAAAGTGGTCAGGCTGAGGTGACGAATCGGGAGCTCAAGCACATACGTTTGATTCTTAAGTTACTATACAAAGTATTAAGTATGTGTATATAATATATATTAGATATATGACTAAACCTAAACCAAACAAGCTAAAAAATTTAAGCAAACCAAACAAATTATCCAAATTAATCAAAACCAAATTATCCAAATACTACCGGTAAAATGGTTACCAAAATCCATTACATCAGCAACAAGAGCATAAATAAAATAACCACTGCTGCTCTATGATGAGTTCAAACGAAGGGGTTACCAGCAACAA